GTGGTGCAAACGGTTAAGCGCTTGGCTGCTAACTAAAAGGTTGGAGGTTCGAGTCCACCCAGAAGCACCTTAGAAGAAAGGCCTGGCTCCCTTTGGGAGCAAGGGAGAATGAAGAGAACAGGATACAAGGAAAAGATTAGTCCAAAGGACTAATTGTCCACAGCTACCAAGGTCTCCACCGGACTGAGTCCAGTACAGCTAGATGGTGCCCGGCTACCACCACTGACTGCTCTGACCAGGATCACAACAAAGGGTTCTGGACAGAGCTGGAGAAGGATGTACAGCATAATTCTAACTCACAAAAAAAAAAAAAGACCAGATTTACTGGCCTAAAGGAGACGGGAGAAACCTCGAGAGTATGGCCCCCAGACACCCTTTTAGCTCAGTGGTGAAGTTACCTCCGAGGTTCACTGTTCAGCCTGGGAGTGGACCGCCCTGTAAAACCAAATGAGACTAACGAGGTACAGGAGTCCAGTGACAAGGGCCAGAAGGCAGAAGGGGACAAGGAAGCTGGTGATAGGGAACCCAAGGTTGAGTAAGGATATTGATGATGTGTTGTGAGATTGTTAACCATTGTCATAGGGCAACATTTGTAGTAACTGTTAAATGAGAAACTATTTTGTTCTGTAAGCCTTCATCGTTAAGTGAGAATAACAGCACAATTGGAAGAGCGTAGTCAATGTCACTGAACTGTGTATGTAGAAATTTTTGAAACGGTGTATCTTTGGCTATGTGTATTTTCACCAAAAAAAAAAAAAAAAAAAGGTTGAGAATTTAGAGGATTAATATGTTGTGGGGTTGTTAACCAATGTCATAAAACAACATGTGTACTACTGTTTCATGAGAAACTATTTGTTCTGTAAGCCTTCACCTGAAGTACAATAAAATATATATATATAAAAAAAAGAATGTATTATGTAGATTAAAATCCTCTTTTAAATAAAAAAAAGAAGAAGAAGAAGAAAGGCCTGGCAATTTACTTCTGAAAAATCAGTCATTGAAAACCCTATGGAGCACAGTTCTACTCTGACACATATGAGGTCTACATGAGTCAGAATCAACAAGATGGCAACTGAGTTTAGTTTTTTGGTATAGCTGCAAGCTACGTGGACAATAGAAGTCATTGTGTAAATTTTAGAAAAAAGGCAGAATATTAGTGAAAAAGGAAATAGAAGTTGACATATTGGTGAATTTGCATCATTCAGAAAATCTAGATTCCTGGGAAGAACTTGGAATAATCTAGTTCCAATTCTGTCATCAACAGGAACATGCCTAAATCAGCCAAAGCACATGTGAATGAGGATCGTCACAGCTATGCAGTAGACTGAAAATCAGGGTGGGCCGCCTCTGCCCACTTCTACAACCAATGAAGAGCTCTGTGAAGTCACATGACTTCCTCAACCTGTCTCTTCATCTGAAAACAAGGATGTTGGGTGAGAACAATGGCTGTGAAACACAGTTTTAAACTACATTCCACAGTAAAAACTAGCATTGTACATTGTGACTTAGTATACGCATCTTAATTAAGTGCAATATATTTGATATTTTTCTATTCGATTCTAATCCTTCTTTTTCTTCTTTTTTTAACGTTGGTTTGACCCACTAAACAGATTTCATGTCCCCAGTTTGTGACCCACAGTCTGAAAAATTCCAGACTAGATAATCTCTAAGGGCCCTTCATTCTGAGAACCATCAACATGAATCACTCAATATCTAACACGTTCGCAAAACCCATTGCCGTCGAGTCGATTCCGACTCGTAGTGACCCTACAGGACAAAGCAGAACTGCCCATAGGGTTTCCAAGGCTGTAATCTTTATGGAAGCAGACTATCACATCTTTTTCCCATGGAGCAGCTGGTGAGTTCAAACCGTTCACCTTTCACTTAGCAGCCAAGCACTTAACCACTGCACCACCAGGGCTCCTCATTTAAAACATTACAGTTTTCAAAGTGATTTCACAGGGTTGTCTCCTATGATCATCACAACAGCGGTGTAACATGGACAGAGGAGCTCATGAGATTCACCACAGAACATGTGGTGAGGGCATGGCTGAGCCGGACCAAAACTCAGCAGTTGCACAACAGCAGCTAACGTCCTGCTTAGTAGCTCTTCTCTGTCAGAGAATTCCACCTCCTGACCACCCTCTGCCCCAAGCTTCAACTTAAATACCTCTCCTGATCTGTCAAAAAAGTGAGCGTCAAATCTAGCAAACTCATCCTAAGAATTTTATGTTAAACTTCATGTTCATGCCCTTGCTAGATTCTTCAGGAACATACTCTGGGTGGGCTACTGTGCAGAGAGGGGGAAGACAGATGCATGAAACTCAGTTCCTGCCCTGGAGTTGCTCACTGTCTAGTACAAAAAGATGTATCCGCAAACACATCCACTAAGCGCAGCACAGAAGACATTTTAAAGTTGCACTTAAACGTTTTCTTAATGACAACCTTAGTTGTTCCATTTAACCTCAGCACAGGCCTCCCCATTTGGTTGATGGAGAGCACCAAGCTTCAAGCCTTCCCTGGAGACTCTGAGTGCTGGAGACCAACAGGACAGCAAGAGGGTGCACTCCAGTGGGAAGTAAAGGACACCCATGGCAGCTCCCTGACAGAGCTGCTTCCTCTGTTGCTTCGCCTCCTTCCCCAGGGTCAGTGAATGGAGAACGCCAACAGGCACTCTCAGCTTCAGCCTATATTCCCTCCTTCACTCCAGACCAGCATCAACTGACTGCAGGGATATATTAAAGATGTTGTTTAACATCACAAAAAGGTCAGGTCCCCTAGATTTATGGACAACTTGGCATTTATATTATTTGGGAGGAAAAAAAATTATATCAGGGAAAAGGGACAGAGACAAGAGTACTTTTAGAAGACAAATCTAGAGTTAAATAAAAGCATTGAAGTCCTTTATTTTCTTAACTATTTACAAATCAATGAGTTCTGGGTGGTAATATGCCAGTGCTTCTAAATCAATTACTGTCAAAAGGATTTGGAGCCTGAAGTCAGAATTTGTTGTTTTGCTTCTCCGCATCCATTCCTCCTTTCTCTGACAACAATGCCCAGATTTTACTGTGGGGAACCACAACCCCTTTATATAAGCCAGTTGGTGTGGCTGGGGCCAACCCTACCTTTAACTCCAGGGGTGATTCCTGACTGGCTTAAGTTCTTTGTGATTGATTTGAGAATGGGCAGGGAATCTAATCAGAGTCAATGAGACAGAGGATTACTTTTCTGAGACTTCAGAGAAAGTGTCCTTTTTTTTTTTTTTCCTCACAGGAGCTACAAGAAGAGAATGTTTCTGTATCCCTGCATGGTGTGGTGTGAGAATGACGAGGTGGAGGACTGTGGCAGCACTGAGGTGACAGACTCCAGTGAGGATGCAAGGGACATAACTGAAGGCAGAGCACAGAGCCAGAGAGAGCCTGCAACCTTACAGATGTCCTTTGGACTACTGGATCAAGCCTTACCAGCAACCCTTCCTGCAGATTTTTTTTTTTTTTAGTCAAACAAGTCTTTTATTTGTTTAAACTAGTTTTAGTTTTCTGACATTTGCTACCAAAGTAATTTAAACTGATACAAATATGTTACATATCCCAAAGTAGTAATGTAACAGGATTTAAGGTCTCTTTTGAGGGAGACAGAGGGTTATTGTGATAGGTGGAGATTGAGAGAAAGATTTTTTCTTAACTTCTATTAATTCTGCAGGAAACAATCACAATAGTTAGTGTCTAGAGTTGTTCCTGTTTCTCAAAAACACCTTTCCCATGCAGATCGCCCTGCTTGAATTTCATGATCCTGAGTCAGTCACTTAAAAGTTTATTTTGCAGTCATCACTTATTTATCAGACACTTTACATCATTTAAGATATAATTTTAAATTCAGTAATTCATTTGATTGTCACAATAACCAAATGAGGGAGGATTGAGGGATCTATCATAATATCCATTTTAGGCAGGAGAAAGTTGAGCCTCAGAGAAGTTAAATGAGATGCTCAAAATAATTTCAGGAAGTGGATGATGGGGTTGGGGTAGGGAGAGACAGTCCTCAAATCTAGGTCTCTTGCTTCCTGGGTTTAAACACCATCCTATGTCTCCCTACTCTAATCCTCTGAACCAAAGATGCTAAACTCTACTCCCAAAAACAAATCTGTGCTCTTAGTTAATGCATAAAATTTTGGCAGTGGGCGAGGCTTGACCAAAGCACCGAGATCCCCAATAAGTGGCAGAGCCAGAACGAACTAGCTAGTGATCTTGGGCCGTCCCCCTTTGTCTGGTTTTCTCATCTGTAAAAGGAGAGGTCTAAAAGTTCTCTGATTCTGGCCCTTCCTCTCTCCCCACTCTCAAATTTTTTCCCCAGAATAATAACTATAACCTTAAAAATAAATAAATAAATAAACCATTGCTGTGGAGTCGATTCCGACTCATAGCGACCCTATAAGACAGAGCAGAACTGCCCCATAGGGTTTCCAAGGAGTGGCTCGTGGATTCGAACTACTGAACTTTTGGTTAGCAGCTGAGCTCTTAACCACTGAGGTGTTTTTTGTTTTTTAATTATAACCTTTGCTGGCATTTATTCTCACTGGGTGCCAGGCATTGTGCTAAGAACACTACTTCCATTAACTCTGTAAACCTCACAACACCCCGAGACAATCATCTCTCTTTTACAGATAAGGAAACCTGGACTCAGGTTAAATGAACTAACCCAAATCGCAGAATGACTAAGTATCAGCGAGATCTGACCCCAGGTCAGATAGGCCATGAAGACCTTAACCCAGTCTGAACTGTTCTCGCAGAGGAAATTAGGCTCCTCGCCTTACTAGTCACCGTTCCCTACACAGAAGTGGTGAGTGGGAGGCAAACTGAGTCACGCCAAGCCCCTGCAAGGCAATAACCGGAAACCGCTGGAACGGCTCCAGGGAGGTTCCTTCCCAGGCCCAGGAGGCGGGGCACCCCTCCCCGCCCGCCACAGGATCTCCGCTCAGGCCATGCGTCCCTTCCCGTTACCTTGTTGAGATGCGGGTTCCTGGTGACATCGTATCCGCGCTTCTTCAGGGGCACCGGGCGCACCGGGCCAGCCTTGGAATGGCAGCCTCGGGTGGGCGCGGAGGTCGCCCAGCTCGGGAGGGTGCCACAGGCCCGGCCCGACAGGAGGGCCAACCGTACGCCGGTGCCCAGCGAGGCGCCCATGGTCCTAAGGCAGACCTGGCACCGGGGAGAGACCAAGGTCAGGGGCGCCTTCCAGCCAGCCAGGTCCCACACGCGCCGCGGGAAACCGGGCCTAAGCCAAGGACGCGTCCTCAGTGAGAGGGCAGGGGGTCCTGAAGGCTGAAAGGCGCCAGGCCCCGCCCCTCCTCGGGGGCCCCCAGCGCGGCTCTCTGAGACGCGCCGCCACTTGCAGTGCCCCAGGCCTAGTGAAGCGCCGGGCAAAGCGAAAGCAATCCCAGAAAGCAGATCCGGTGCGGGTGACAGCCCGGGCCACCCCCGCCCATAGTACCACGAAGGAGAGGCGACTGCGCGGCGAGGGGTCCCTGAGTCCCCAACTTCACTCGGTAGCGTCCCCACCTTCCCCGGCCCACCTGCGCTGTGCCTGAAGCTTCTATCTACTCGGCCCTGCTGCGGGGCAGGCAGGGCGAGACGCCACGGTCCGTTGTTCCTCTCCCGCCAATGGCTCAACCGCGCCGGCGGCCGCGAGCGCGCGGGGCTGGTGCGTTCTGGAAACTGCGGCTCTGAGACCTTTGTTTGCAGTGCTGAATCTCCGCTGAGAACGCGCATAGGGCGCCTCACAAACGCGTGCACGTGGCTCTGTAGTGACAAGGTGAAGTTCAGAATGCTCCCTGAGCCCTTCCATCTTGGCAAGTCTGAACGCACAGAGGGGATTTAAGGTTTAGGGGTCAACATACCCTCTCCCCCACCACCATTTTGGGAAGATCTTGGCTCTGAGATTCGCAGTAGAACTCCCCAGGCACCTAGGGCTCAGTGTCGCCTTGCACTGTCCAGTACAATAGCCATTAGCCACATGTGGCTATTTAAATGAATTCAAAAAAATTAAAAACCCAGTTCCTCAGTTGCACTAGCAACATTTTAAGTGCTCAAAAGTCACGGGTGGTTAGTGGATATGGGATTGAACAGCCCAGACATGAAACATTTCCTTCTTTGCAGAAAGTTCTGTTGTGCAGTACTGATATAGGGTCTTCAGTTACTAAGAGGGATTCTAGGGATACCATGGAACCTGGATTTCTGGAGCCAAACAGGGACCTTGAAATCCATCTAACCTTAAACTTAATTTCAAACACTCACCACACAGTAGTCAAGAGATTCCGTTTAAAATATATGGTCCATTGTGTGTGGTATGAAATCCAAACTCTTTCCTGGGCCTAAGGGTTACGCTATAGCTTGGATCCTCCCAGCTTCTCCAAGTTCATCCCACTCCATTTCCCCCTTTCTGAGCTCTAGCCACACTTGCTCCTCCCTGTACTTCCACCCCACCCAGTGCCCTCCACCTCAAGATCTTTGCATTTGCTATTGCCTCTACTTGGAATGCTCATACCCTAACCCTCCAAACACCTGCCTCATCACTGTCTCTCAGATCTCCACTTAGTTGTCAGCACAAAGGCATTTTCTACACTCCATCCAATGTCAGCCTCCATTCCTGACTATAGAGTGAAGGTTTCTCCCCCCTTTTGTAGAATTTACCACAGTCAGTACTTAGCTTGTTTTCCACTCTCCCACTTCAGTCTCCTTTACTGACTGAGAAGAGTGACACTGAACAGAACCTGGGGTTTCCACCCGGCAACAGTGCAACCGTTCTCACTCTCCTTTTCTGAGTCGTTCCTCCTCCATTAACATAAACTCACTACCCCCTGAATTTCCTACCTAATCTTTTGAGTTACTGTTATCAGTGTAATCCCGTATAGATAGATCTTGAAAGAGCACAATGCTCAAGGCAGACATTCTTTAATAGTTAAGCTAAACTATTGTTTGGTTTTAAGAAGACTTCAGGTGATATTTTTGGTTTAAGGTTTAAAGATTATTTTAGGGTGTCATAGATTGAACTGTGCCCCCAAAAGTATGTGTCAACTTAGCTAGGCCGTGATTCCCAGTATTGTGTGATTGTCCACCATTTTGTCATCTGATGTGATTTTCCCGTATTGTAAATCCTACCTCTATGATGTTAATGAGGCAGGATTACAGGCAGTTATGTTAATGAGGCAGGACTCGGTCTAGATTAGGTTGTGTTTTAAGTCAATCTCTTCTGAGATATAAAAGACAGAAGCCAGCAGAGAGACATGGGGACCTCCTATCACCAAGAATGAACCAGGAAGGGTGCACATCCTTTGGATCCAGGATCCCTGCGCTGAGAAGCATCTAGATCGGGGAAGACTGATAATAAGGACCTTCCCCCAAAGCCAACAGAGAAAGAAAGCCTTCCCCTGGAGCTGGTGCCTTGAATTTGGACATCTAGCCTCCTAGACTATGAGAGAATAAATTTTTCTTTGTTAAAGCCATCCACTTGTGGTATTTCTGTTATAACAGCACTAAATAACTAAGACATAGGGCAATACTTTCAGGGGTTCATCCAGCCTCCATGACTCCAGAAAGTCTGGAGTCCATGAGAATTTGAAATCCTGTTCTTCATTTTCCTACTTTTGATCAGGATTTTCCTACAGAATCTTTGATCAAAATGTTCAGAAATGGTAGCTGGGCACCATCCAGTTCTTCTGGTCTCATGGCAAAGGAGGCACTTGTTCATGGAGGCAATTAGCCACATATTCCGTATCCTCCTCCTATTCTGAAGCCAAGTTTACTCTTGAACTGTACATTTATCTGAGCCTATAAATGATATTTTTCCCCCTTAAATTAGTTTAAATCAGATTTTTTATTGCTTCAACCGAAAGAATATCAATGGATACTTTCCTTCTAACACTATTTTGTATATTTTTACATCTTCTCCAACATCTTGAAGGCAGGGATTAGATGTGTAGGGTATGTGTGCGTGTTTCCATCTTTTGGTACCTGGTATATAGCAAATTCTCAAAAATGTCTGAACAAGTCTGCCTTTGCTCAATACAATGACCTTTCTCTCACCTGGAGAATTTTTAATAGGTAACCTCAGTCATTTGAAACTCAGCGAGAAACCAGAATGTAAACAACAAAGTCTCCAAACAAGCAAATACAATTGTTAAATAATCTGTTCACTAAAGTTCAGACCGTTTACGTGTAAGGTTCTCCCTCATATGCTCACCTGTGACCTATACTGTCTTCACCCAGACATAACTGTAGCATTTTTTTTTTTTTTTTATTGCATGTATGTCTTTGTTCTTTGGTCACAGAAAAGAGAGGTGCTAGAGGCAGGTCCACTAGGTGCAGCAGAAGAAAGAATCCTGAAAGGAGGTGAATTCTCTGTTCCACAAAGTTGCCAAGGGACCCAGGTTCTTTCTCTATCGTTGCTGTGCTGTTCTCTGCAGCATTGCCCTCCTCTACGTGGACGCATTACTTATACATTAGCATCCCAGCCATTAGAAAGGGGGAAAGAGGAAATGGAGAGCAAGCAATTCTCTTAGGGAAGTGATGTGGAAGTTGAACACATTACTTCTACTCATGTTCTGTTAGTGAAAACAGTCACATCAAACTACAGTTCAAGGCAGACTGGAAAATATTGTCCTAGCTGGAGGGTATCTATGGGCTCTACTAAAGCTCAATAGGGGAGAGAGATCTATCACTACAAGGATGAAGGGAAGAATGGTTCTTGAGGGCTGGTAACTAGAAGCTTGTTGTTGGGCACCATCAAATCAATTCTGGCTCATAGTGACCCCATGTAACAGAGTAGAACTGCCCTGTAGGGTTTTCTTGGCTGTAGTCTTTACAGAAGAGATCACCAGGTCTTTTTCCTGCTGAGCCACTGGGTGGGTTCGAACTGCCAACCTTTAGGTTAGCAGCCAATCGCTTAACCATTGTGCCACCAGGGCTCCTTCTAGAGATATAATAAGCATTTTATATTAAAGTGTTTGGTGTATAGAAGGTGCTCAGAAACTGTTATTATTGGCATATGTGCTTTGTATTTCTGGTTTCATGGCAACTTCTTTACTTTTAGAGTATTAGAGAGACCAGGTTTAGAACCATGAAAACTTTCCAGAACTTCTTACAACTCCATGGAACTCTGACTTCCTTAGCTAGCCAGCCTTATGGTCCAGGTCCCCATAATTTGTCTTGGCCCCTCTCCTCTCACATCCCACTTACTGACTTCTGCCATCATTGTAATGCTGCTTCCTGGGGAGGTAGTGGTCCCATTGCCATTCCCCCTGACCAGAGTGCCCGTATTCCTAGAGCACTAAGAACATTTGCCTTTCCATTCTGATTGCAGAGATTTGCATATCTACCTGTTGCCCTACTAGATTGTGAGTTCCTCAAGGACTGGAACCACCATTTACAATCCCTTGCTTTTGCAGTTCCTAGGACAGTGCCAACACTGGGAGTGCACTCAGTTTATTGAATTAAATAAATTTGATGTGAATCAAATGATAACTTTCCAAGATGTGGATCTGATTGAAACCAAATTTGGTACATTGTTAAGGGATATTAAATTACCTTCAAGCTAGATCTGTAGTTTAGTCTGCTATCTTGAAACAATATCATTTGTCTTCTGTAAACAGATTTTAATGACCCTATGTGTATGGGTTAAAATATAAAAGTGCATTAAAAATTCATTATTGTTCAGCTAATTCTATGTCTTCACACATTGATTTATAATATTCTGTGTGATGTTGTATGTTTATGATTAAAACAACTCTTTAATTCATATTGCTGCTAGTAATATTTTTAGCTACTTCAGCTGTATTATTTTCTTACACCAAAGCAGAATAGTGAGGAACATTTCCTTTCTTTATCCAAATGAAGTAAGCCTTGTCACTCACCTCTCCTCCTCGTGTCCTGTTGTCTGGGTCTTTGCTCAAGCTGTTTCCTCCGCTTCCAGAATCTGCCAGTTGAAGCCCTGCCCTTCCTTCACAGCTCAGCTCACACACCGTATCTTCCAGCAAGCCCTCCTTGCAGGTTCCCCAGCTACAGCTCTCCCTCCCTCCTTTATGCTCCCCAAACTCTGTCACTTGTATCTCTCCTATTGCTTTTACAGGCTGCTTCTCTGTGAAATTGTTTATTTATGTATCTGTTTCTTCTACCCTCAAAGGGGCTCATAGAGGTAAAAGTAACAACTTTGGATTCAGACGGTCTTCAGTTCACCACTGACTAGCTTGGGCCTTTTACGTGACCTCTTTAAGCCTCACCACTCTCATGGATAAAACTG